TACCCAGCCGCCGCCATACTCCAGGACACTTTCCGGACACATCATAAGACACTAAATACCTATCTTCCGGAATTGCTGTACCATATTTGACAGGGTTCAAATATGGTAACACCTACCAGGGCGATTAGAGGTCGCCCCGAAAGCCTCTATCCATCTCGGAAAGACTGGCAAGCTACCGAGAGTATTCCACCCGCACGGCAGAGCCTGGCAAGCTATTCGTTGTGTACTCGATATACCAAAACCAGTAATTACAACTGGTCTCGTTCACCTGACCCTGACGGCTTCACCGACATGGCAGCACTGAGAAGGATGAGAAAGGAGGGGCCGATAAAATCTCAAGGCCAAACTGCCACAACGAAGGAAGACAAAAATGATCGTCTGTACTTTCAATGCACGTCCGCTAGCATCAGGTGCATCCATCGAGGACCTGATGGTACAAGCGTGAAAGATCAAGTACGACGTCATTGGTCTGACCGAGACAAGAAGGCACGAAGCTCACCATGCCGTTTTCGACACTGGAGAAGAATTGTTCCTCAGAACATGCGATAAAAGAGGTGTCGGAGGCATTGGTGTCCTTGTCAACACAAACTTGGCCATGAGCATTGATTCATTCGAATGCCTAACAACCCGAATCGGACGTTTACATTTGAATAGATGTGGCCCACTGCCGGCAGTTTCTATCTTCAGCAGTACATATACTAAAATTGGAACAGTGTTTAATGAAACTTTGAAAAAAAATGATTTTAGTCAGAAAAGTCAAAGTTGGGGCCAGAGAGAGATAGTACAGCAGGTCAGGTTCTCACCTTACATGCAGCTGATATGTGGTGATCCCTGATTCTGCACATGGTCCCTTGCACCCCCACTAGGGTGATCGTGCATTTTTTGCCTGCTTTTTTTGGCGATGCACAAGGGCTACTCCTGGCTCTGCACTCAGGAATCACTCCTGGTGGTGCTCAGGGGACCTTATGGGATGCTGGGAATCGAACCAAGGCAAACGCCCCACCCGCTGTGCTATCACTCTAGCCCCGAGTCTCTTTTCAAGTGTTTATTCTTTTTTTTTTTTGTAGAACCTGTCTGGAGAAATAATTACTCATATCCTTTTGTCCTTTGTTTTGATTTTGAGCCGTCCTTAATTGTGCTCGGGAATTGCTCCCAGCTCTGTGCTCAGGGGTCACTCTTGGCAGTCTAGGGGAAGCTTATGGAGTGCCAGGGATCAAACCTGGGTTGGCCACATGCAAGGCAAGTGCCCTCCCTGCTGTGCTGTCTCTCCAGCCCATATCCTCTTTTCAATTGGGTTATTCATCTTTTTGTTGCTGAGTTGTAAGAATTCTTTGTATATCTTAGATACTGGCTCTTTATCATGCATATGGCTTGACAATGTTTTCTTCATTCTGTGGATTCTCTGCACTTTCTTAATAATGTCCACAAACGGCTTTTGGGCTTCTTGTTGAAGTCCAATTTATCTAGTTTTCTCATTGCTTGTGTTCTGAGCATCGTATTTAAGCAATTGCTGATGAGCAAGAGGTCACGCTGCTTGCTTTCACTGTTTTCTTCTAGGAGTTTTTCGTTGAATCTCTTGGATTTTGACCCATTTTTTAGTTTATCTGTGCATAAGGTGTGAGATAAGGATGATGTTGCATGGTTTTGCCCGTAGATATTCTGTTGCTCCAGTACCATTGTGGAGACCATTCTTTTTTGCACCGTATCTTAGCACCCTCATCAAAACCAATTGACCACAAATGACTTTGACTTTGACAGCTGGGACGTGGCTGGAATGTAAGAGCACATGCCTTGCATATTTGAGGTCCAGGCCTTGATCCCGAGGACTCTGGGTCCCCTGGGCATGGCAGGGAGTCACACACAGGGAGTGTGTGTGTGTGACTGTGTGACTCCCCGACAATATAAAAATTTGTGAATCAAAATCCAGTGGACATGGAAATGTTGGAAAGAATATGAAGACCTCAGAACCCTGGTACTTTGAAGGAGAGCATGTTAAATGATGTAGTCCCTGTGGCAAATAATTTGCTGGTCCCTCAAAAAGTAAAACATAGCTTTGTCCCTTGCTCCCACAAGTTCCTTCTCTGGTAGATACTGGAGAAAATGGAAAACATTTATTCATGGAAAAGACTTGTTCTGATTGGCATCATCTATAATAACCCACAGCGAAGAGAGCCGAGAGGCCCATCAGCGGATGGATGGGCAAAGTCACCAGTGGGATATTATCTGGCCATGAGGAAGGAAAGAGGGGGCCAGAATGATAGTACATTGGTTAGGGAGCTTGTCTTGCACACAAATGACCTGGGTTAGATCCCGGAACCCCAGAGGTCTCCTGAGCACTGGCAGGAGTGATCCCTGAGTGAGAGCCAGGAGTAAACCCACTGCCAGATGTGACCTTAAAAGAAAGAAAGAAAGAAAGAAAGAAAGAAAGAAAGAAAGAAAGGAAGGAAGGAAGAAAGAAAGAAAGACAAGAAGGAAGGAAGGAAGGAAGGAAGGAAGGAAGGAAGGGAGGAGTGGGCTTATACTCCCAGGTTGCAAGTGTTACCTGAGTGGAAGGAGCCAGAGGTTGGCAGTCAACGTGAGGATTGATTCTGCCTCTATGCCCAGGAGAGGGAAATACACAGAGATGGGAGACCAGAGCAGACCAGAGGACAGAGGATAGCGGGATTTGGGACTGACCGTTCTAGGTACCATGCTTCTCCCAGAAGTGATGAAAATGTTCCTAAACCAGACAGTACAGAAGAAACGTGGATACACCACACGGCATCCTCACAATTCCCGAGCACCCGTGGGGGAAGAGGTAGGTTATGTGGATTGTTTCAGTGTTCTTTTATTTGTGAGTGTGGAGTAGGCGGTGGCTACACCTGGTAGCAGTGCTCAGGGATTTTTTCCGGCTCTGTGCTCAGGAGTGATCCCTGGATGTGCACGGGGACCATATGCAGTACTGGGAATTCGAACCTGAGTAAGCCACTGAGTGCAAGGCAAGTGTCTTACCCTCCGTCCTGTGGCTCATCTATTCCCAAGGGTGATCAGAGCAAGAGTCTTAGCATGGAGCCCAAGGGGTCCTAAGGGAGAGAGTAGGGGGACGGGTGGGTGGTCTGGGGGCCAGAGATCTACTCAGCCCCTCCTCCCTCACCCCTGGACTCTTGTGAGTCCCCAGTGCCCGACTGGATTCCCAGCCTCAAGGCTCCCCTGCCACCAAGACAAACATCACCTGGGCAGGTTCCAAGCCAGCTCAGACACCGGCGGCTGCCAGCACATGTGCACGGAGCGGAGTCCCGGAGACACCTGGGGTGCCAGCTTCTGGGCCGCCGCCCTGGGAGACGCTCCACGAGCATCTTGGCTCCCCATGTTTGCACAGCCTGGCTCCATTAGCGGCGAGGTGACGATCTAATTCCCTCCGAACAAATGTTGGGGCTGTGTGGTTTCCCTTCAACAATGAGCAGTGGCAGACGGTGAGAAATCTGCCTACACCTTCTGGGGAATGGGGTGGGGAGTCCTCACCTCCCAGCTAGGACACCCCTCCTCCCCCTGCCCTGCCAACGTCAGGGCTGTCTGCCACAGGCTAAGGCTCCTGATCCCAGTAAAGTTGGTGGGGCCCATCTGTGTGTGGGGAGCCAATGGCCATCTGACTGCTGGGTGCGCCTCAAGGGGTGCCCCCTCGGCTCGTAGTCAGGGAGCCCTGAAATCTTGACTTGGGCAAGGCCCAGTCCCAGCAGGGGAGGGAGAGACAGATGAAAGGGCAGGAAACTCCCACGCAGGACCCTGCCCCACTCCCATCCTCAGCAAGAAATGGGGCCCAAAGGGGGCGGGATCCACATATCAGCCTGTGCCCTAAGGATCCCTATGTTTAGTGGGGACCCCTAGGTGCTCCCTTCCTACAACAGACCCCACATCACGGCAGAGAAAGATACCCAGACCGTGCGGGCTGTATATTCAGGGGGCTGCCAAGAAGAGAATCAGCTTTTTAAAATAAACACAAATACCTAACACGTAGGTTTAAAATAGATACATTTTTTTCCATGAAGATTTTTATTGATTTGACACAAGAGCATCCAAACTCTCCTGGCACCTCAATATCTCCACCCCACCCCCACCGGGTCCCCACAGCACTTCCCAGGGTGCCTTTGTCCCGTGGTACTGAAGGAGTCTGTGTCCAGTGCAGCCAAGAGCCACTCCCATCTCAAGGTCACTGCTGCTGCCAGAAACTGGAGCAGGAGGGGACCTCGGACTGTCCACCACCAGCAGGTGGACAGGAGCCTGCTGCTCCTCCCAGAGGTGTGGCCAGGTCCCTAGTGTGTCTCCAGCACTGCTCGCCCACCGTACACTGCCCCTTCCCTTCGGTGGGTGTCATTGTGTTCTGGAGTCCAGGCCATGCCTCTGGACAAGGCACTGTCTGTCCCAAGTATTACTCTACTGCCAGGGCCAAAGACTGGCACCGAGGGGGATTTGGCAGACAAGGAACCAGAGACTTTGCTAGGAATCAGAGACTGGCCCAGAGGGTATAGGAGAGAAAGAATAAAACAGTTGATCGAGAAACACACACACACACACACACACACACACACACACACACACACACACGACCTCGGAAATAGTTCAAAGACCTGAGTTCTGCCCCCAGCACTCTGTGGAGCCTCAGCACAACTGGATGTGTCCCAGAACAAAATAACAGTGCTATTTTGGGTTGGAGTGTGGCTCAGTGCGTGCCCTTTATGGGTGAAGCCCTGGGCTTGGTCCCTGGCATGGAGAAGGAGGAGCAGAAGAGAGAGATGGGAGGAGGAAGAGGAGGAGGAAGAAGAGGAGGGAAGGGGAGGAAAAGGAGGGAGAAAGAGGAGGAAGAGAAAGGAGGAGGTGGAGGAGCAGATGATTCCATTGGGATTGAAGGGAGGGCCTAGACGTACACCCAAATGCAAATGGGAGATGCAATGTAGACCAAAGCGGCATTTCAAGCCAGTGGGGAGGCGAGGGCTTCAAAAGCAGAATTAGGACAATGAGGTCCCTTATTGCAGCTGGCCCCGGGAAGGTCCCTGCAGCCCCATGTCCAGCAGCCAGGACACAGCAGCAGTGGAACAAGTGTTGTGGTACTGGAGAGCAGGCGAGTGGACAGCAGGGTCACAATGGAGAGGCTGGATGCTGGGGTCAACAGAGGGTCCTGGGATGCTGGAGGGAGGGCCTGAGGGAGGCCTGGGGTGGGCAGATATTCGAGGGAGGGGAAATGCCCAGGAGGGGAACAGGAAGTTAAGACCTGATGGGATGAACACCAGGAAGGCAGGTCGGTTCCAGTGAAGGAGAGTAGGAGCAGGCGGGGGTTACGTTTGGTGGTGGGCTGGGCGGTGCAGGGGCTGGGGGGAATCTTCCAAGAGAAAAAGTGATGGCTGGAGGGTGATGAGCCAGGGGGACTTCTGTCCCCCACAGGGATGGTACTGGGGAAAGGAAAAAGTGAGCAAATAAGGAAGTCACTATGGCAGTTGTCTTGCTGGCAAGGTAACTAAGAAGATAAACGGTTTGGGATCAGAGAAATGGGGATAGATGAACAAGTTGTGGTCATGGAGAACTTCCTGGAGGAGGTGGTATTCTAGGAAAGTCGGCTCAAAGGGCTGAGCCGGATGTGCTCTAGGGTCCTCAGGAGGTGATGTGGACTGTGTGGTAGGGAGTAGTGGGGAGATGGAATCAGTAGGTCAGAGCTGGAGTAGAGTGGGGCCAAACACAAAAAGGGGGGCTGAGGTTCTTCCGGTCTGTGATCTCTCCATGGAGTCATTGTGCGTTTCCCCAAGCTAGGTCTGAGTCAGATCATCCCCCACCCTTGCCTTTTTCTGACTATTACAAAATTTTAACAAAAAGTTCAAGAAAATGTACACAATCCAAGTTTTGTATCAGTAAAAAGATGCAACGACGAGAACATGAGAAAACACTTGACTTCTAAACAACCGCTGTCTGGACTTGTTCCAAGGCTTCTAACACGTTGATTCTATTTCCTCGTATTACCACCATTCCAATATTTTTCTGTTGCGCACTTGTTACAGTCTCCACACATTCATCCATAGCAAGATTCTTAACAGAGTCAAATTCTCGAAGTATGCCTTGGACATGGTTGCCACCATTCAATTTCAACAGTAACTTCTTGTCCATACATTTTTTTCATCTCTGGGGATGGTAAATTGGGCTCCTGGTGTCTTCTCAGCAGGCTCCAAGATGCCTCCAAGATGAAACTCGAGGCTTTCCTCACACTCCTGCAATAGCTCATCCTTTTTGATGGCTGCCAGCTATTCCACACCAGCCACATGCTCACTGCTCTGGAAAAGGATTCTCTACTCTCCTGACATCTGACTCTTTGGCATATGCACAAATGTTACTATAGCAAGGATGCTGATGCTATAGTAACATTATAACAAGATGGCCTTGCACATGGATCTTTGAGTGTGTGTGTAAGAAACCTTCCTGAACTTTGAATTGTCAGGTAAAAGGATTCAAAACTACTAGCTGTTACCAAAAGACCTTCGGAAAGTTTTCTTGTATACCCCTACCGTCATTTGCTTTCTCACCAGGGACGGAGGGTCAGTACTTTCCATTCATTTCCAATAGAGGAGGTAAATCAATATTATACTTTAAAATTTGCATTTGAATTCCAGTGAAATTGGGCTTGTCAGATGTCTCTTCAGGGGGAGGAGGAGGAAAACATTTGGATTTCTTCTCTGACAAGTTGCCTACTCACATAGTTTACCTAGTTCTCTTTTGTGTTGCAATTTTACCACGCTGATTTGTGAGACTACCTTGCCTATTAAAGAAAATTGACCTTGGTCTGACTTGCAGGTGCTGTCAATTGTTTGCCATTGTCTTCGATATTTGCAGAAGTACATCTTGATGACCAGGAACTTTCATTTAGCCTGAGCTGCCAGAACTTTCCCTTCTGGCTTCTGGATTTTATGTCATACTTATAGAGATGTTTCCCACACCAACATAAAAAAAATCACCCACGCTTTCTTCTGTTACGTTTTTAGACCCGATTTTGACATTTGAATTTCTTGATGCTTTTGGATTTTTATTTTAGTGTGAGAAATGGAGTAGAGATTTAGCTTTATTTTTTTTAAATGGTTACACATTTATCCCAATACCATTTATTAAACAATCCATCATTTCCTCAATTTTCATGCCATTTTTATCACCTACTAAACACTCATATATTCATAGGTCTATTTCTGGATTCTCTATTCTCTTTCATTGATGTATCTGTTCATATTTTGAATACTTTTGTCAAGACCAATTGAATTTTTTTGTCAAAAAATTCAATTAGAATTTTGATTTAGAGAGGATTGACATCTTTACAACTTTAAGTCTTTCTATTTAATAAAAAGGTCTGATTCTCCAATTATCCTATCTTGTTTTATGTCTTTTAGTCGAGCTTTATCATGTTCTTCATGTAAGTTCTCCATGTTTAAAATTTTTTTCAGACGTTTCACATTTTCAGTCACTGTTGAAAATGAACTTGTCTTTCATTATATTTTGAGCTGCTTATGTTTGATCAAAATAAGGGTATTGATTTTGATATGTGAATTGCAAAGCTGACTACTTTGTAAATTCACAGTTTATAATACTTCTGTTCACTTTAGGACACACCTTCCTGCAGTTTGGGGGCCGGGAGGGACTTTGAGCCACACTTGATTATGCTCAGGGTTATTACTGGCTCTGTGCTCTGGACCACTCTGAGCAGTGCTCAGGGGATCATTGTGAGATGAGAGATTAAACCTGGGTTGGCTGCAAGCAAGAAAATGCTTTACACACTCTATTAGCTCTCTGCCTATCACCGCCCCATACTGCCATTTATCATTAAGCTTATTTTTTTCTTTTGGATCACATCTGGCTGTGATCAGGGCTTACTCCTGACTCTGCACTCAAGGACCACTCCTGACCAGCTTGGGGGACCATATGAAGTGCAGGGATAAAACCTGGGTCTATCGCATACAAAGCAAGTCCTACCCACTCTACTAACTCTTTGGCTCCATACTGCTATTTTTAATGATAACTATTTTTTTTAACCTTCTTGGCCCTGAGAGATAGCACAGGGGTTAAGGCACTCTCCTTGCACAGAGCCAAATCCCAGTTCCATCCTCAGAAACTTATATGGTCCCTTGAGCACTACTAGGAGTGATCACTGAACACAGAGCCAGGAGAAAGCCCTGAGCACCGCTAGGTGTGGCTCTAAGTTGCCTACATGTCCCCCCCCCCCACCAAATATTAAAAGTAAAATTTCTTCCTTTCCATCGTACTTTGTCCCCTTATCTGATGATGCTGACTCTTGACTGTGTTTATTTCATTTTGTTTTTTAGACCACCCCCAGGTCGGCTGTGTCAAGGCAGATGTCTTACCCACTGTACTATCACTCCAGCCCTGAGTATGTGTTTTCTAAGATAAAATAAGCTTGAACCAGCCTTTATTTTTAAATTTTTTTTTTGCTTTTTTGGGTCACACTGGGAGATGCTCAGGGGTTACTCCTGGCGTTGCACTCAGGAAGTACTCCTAGTGGTGCTCGGGGGACCATGTGGGATGTTGGGAATCAAACCGTGCAAGGCAAATGCCCTACCCACTGTAGCCCTTGAAGCAGCCTTTAGAGTTGAAGTTTGCTCCTTCCTTTCTCCCGGTGGGCCAAATGGGAGCAAGCTGGAGGGTTTTCTCTGCTGCTCTTTCTCCTCTCCTCTTTTAGCCACTTCTTGGGTTTGTTGTTGCCAATCAGTTCCCAGCCCACACTGTCTGATCAGGTCCTTCTTCCTCCTGAGAGGCCATCTAAATGTAAATCGGAACTAATGACAGTGACATCATTGTTAAATTCAGTCCCTCAACCGGGGATAGCTGGCTTTCAGGAGGACGCTTACCATGGTAGGGGGTGGGGAGGAAAGAGGACAGTGGTGATGGTGGTGGTGGTGAGGGAACCCTGTTGTTAACAGCATGGGAAACCATGGCACCTAAAGTAAACCTGTTTAAAAAGATATCCAGCCCCTTTGTTGAACTTGCCACATTTCACGGCCTGAAAACACGTGTGTCCTGTGAGGGCAGAAAAGGGATATTCCCACGAGGACAGAACTGTTCCCTCCAGAGCATCCATAGCTCAAAGGGGCCTAAGACCCCCCCCCCCCAAATACGTGCTGGCCCTGAGAGGCCCTCCTCAGTTTCTACACGATTGGTCTGGTGGCCAGGAGAAGGTCTCTGAGAGTTCTCGAAAGCACTTTCTAAGGGGAATCCCCCACGCCCCCTCCGCCCCCTTCCCCGCCCCTGACCTGGGGCCGTGAGCTGCCTGACTGGTTTTGGTTTGGTTGGTTTGGTCCTGGTACCCTGTTCCCCCACCATTGCCCCAGTCTCTCTTCCCTCCTAGGATGCAGGTGGTGTGGCAATGCAGCACTTCCGGTCCCAGTGCTTGGGCTGGGGGGGGGGCGGGTCACTGTCCTGGGCAGTGGAGGATGGAACCCCCTGCCCGCCAGCTCCCGGGGCAACCAGAGGACTGTTGGCAACAGGGGGAATATGGCAACGAGGGGAGTGTGGCAACTAGGAGAGTGTGACACCAGGGGAATGTGGCAACCCAGGGAGTGTGGCGGAAGTGAGGCTGCTCACGCACGTTCAGGACCGGAAGACGCAGGAGCACTTCCGGGAGCCACGTGGCAGCAGGCGGCCCCGCCCACGGGGCAGCCACGTGGTGAGCAAGGGCATGTCAGTGGCACTAGGGACCCCCCCCCCCTCAGGGAGACGCTGACACCCCAAGCCCCAGGCTAAACCCTCTTCCCAGGCCTCCCTGGGCCCCTGGCCCGCCAGGACACGGAGCCACGCAGGAGGGCCGTTGTTCCGCGTCACAGGACCCTGGGGAGCGGAGCAGAAGGAGCCGCAGCATGTGCGCGTTGGAGGAGCAGTATGTCCCTTCCAGAAGGTTCCAACTGCCCACGGAGCACGCTTTTGGGTGTCGTAGTCTGCTGCTGGGCTCCGTTCCTTACTTTCCCACCTCTTCTACTAACGTGACTCCGATTGCGCGGTTGGAAGTGTCGCCTGGGGGCTGGATTCCCACACATCCCCTCCCGCTCTCCCCAGCACTGCAGGGTCAGCCCCGTGACTTTTAGGATTTCAACAAGAAAATCCCCGAGTCCTTTTTGTCTAGGCTCTCGGAATTGATGTCCAAATCGCACGCGATGCGAACTTAGCTGCCAAGGCTCTCAAGTTCCATTTGGGCTCATCCTGCCACGTCTGCTTCCTCCCTGGGCTTCCTTCCTTCCTTCCTTCCTTCCTTCCTTCCTTCCTTCCTTCCTTCCTTCCTCCCTCCCTCCCTCCCTCCCTCCCTCCCTCCCTCCCTTCCTTCCTTCCTTCCTCCCTCCCTCCCTCCCTCCCCACAAGGCTCCTGGGGATGCTGAGAAGGGAGTTTGATGGGACGGGGCTGGACCTGAACTTTGGGCTTGGTGCGTGTGTGAGCAGAGGAGAGAATCCTCGAGGGCTCAGAAGGACGTGGGCAGATAATGAAAAAGGGATTGGACACGGGACAGATGTGGAAAGGGAGGAGGGTGGTCAGTATGGGAAAGGATCTTTTTTGTTGTTTATTTTGTTTTGGGGGGCACGGGGGAGGGGAGCACAGCACACCTGGCAGTGCTCAGGACTTACTCCTGGCTCTGCATTCAAGGATTACTCCTAGCGGGGCTCAGGGGGCCACTAAGATCCTCTGTGGTGTCAGGGATCCAACCTGAGTCGACCACTATTAAAATACCTTATCTGCTCCAGCCCCGGGAAACAAATCGTTAATAGTGCTCCCCTACAATCTGGCAACTCCTCTTCTGGGTATTTATCTGAAGCAAGTAAAATCATGATCTTTAAAAACAAATCTGCACCCCCACGTTCATTATAGCATTATTTATAATAATAGTCGAGACATGCAAGCCAGCCAAATGTCCATCAGTGGAGGGATGGATATAAGGAAAATGTGGCATGAACACACAATGGAGCACTGACTCGCCACCAAAAATGCCATCTTGCCATTGGCAACAGCGTGGCTGGATCATGTGGACAACGTGCTAATGAGTTAAGAAAGACAGAATATTCTGTGATATCACTTACATGTGGCATTAAAGAACTTGTAGACCTGAGAACAAATTGGCTGTTGCTGG